GATGTACTGTTCCAGTCATTTTTGGATAATCTTCAGTAGAATCTTGCTTGCATGTGAAATCAATGATATTGTTCTGTAGTTTCCACACTCAGTTGGGTCGCCCTTCTCCTGAGTTTAAGGCATTAGGAGTAGTAACCTACAATATGAATGAACACGTGTCTCTTTTTCTCTAGTCCATAAAGTGCTTTAAAGACATAATATGCTAATCTTATAAATTAAAGAGAGGGTAGTTACTAATCTCTTACAGAAGGGGCAATGTATCTGTGAGCTGGATACTTACTCAGTGTGATGGTTACAGATGTGCAGGGTTAGGCCTGAGGCCTCACAGCACCTAATTCCTAAAATCCCAACAGGGGAAACCACCTAAATGTCTACTATGTGTTGAATGAATACACAAAATGTACTACATTAAAATAATAGAATGTATGCAATAAAAGCAATGAAATACATGGAAAAGTCTAGAAAGCATTATGGTTAGTGGGGGAAAAGGGCACAAAACATACCAGGTATGAGTCCATTTATCATGAAACTCACAGAATTGGTAAACTCCTAGACATACAAAGTTGATTAGTGGTTGTTGCTGTATACCACTGAGTCGAAACTGACTCACAGCTGACCCTCCGGTGGATTTTCAGAGAAAGTTAATTTCCTGGAGGAGACTCCTCATCTTCCTCCAGTGGAGGAGCTGGGCAGATTTGGATCACATGCCTTTAGGCTGGCAGTGCAGCTCCTTACCACTATGCATGCCACTGGAATGCCTATGTGGTTGTACTGAGCTGGGGAAGATGGGCATTGAGATGTGGGGTAAAGGTCACAGACCGCTTACTGCAGTAATAAATATTTTGAAACTGATATTAAAATGGAAGCACTATTCTAATCATAGTAAAATTCACTATTTAAAAAAAATAGGACAACTGCATAAAATGTGAATTCTCTTTCAATTAATGACAACTCACTGTCATTAATTTGAAACTGACTCACGGGTCAGATGCACTCAACTTCTTTTTTGGTTCTTTTAAATAACATCCTTTTCTTTAGTACCTCAAAGAAGTTCATGGCAGCAGATAGATCTAATGCAATATGTAATTTGATTTCTTTTTCCCCCCATGGTGTATCTTTCCATTTATTTAGCTATTTTAACTGCCCTTGGTGTTGTCTCTTTTTTCCCCTTTCTCTCGCTTCCAACATGATGAAGAAAAGTGCCAAAAAGGGCTGCGGCCACGTGCAGCCTATTTGCTGTACGAACTGAGCCTGGTGCATGCCCAAAGACAAGGCAATTAAGAAGTTCGTAATCCGAAATATAGTAGAGGCAGCTGCTGTCAGGGACATTTCTGAAGCGAGTGTTTTCCATGCCTATGTGCTTCCAAAGCTCTATGTGAAACTGCACTACTGTGTGAATCGTGCCATTCACAGCAAGGTGGTGAGGAACCGTTCTCGTGAAGCCCAAAAGAACCGGACACCTCCACCTAGATTTAGACCTGCAGGTGCTGCCCCACGACCACCACCAAAGCCCATGTAAGGATTTGATTCCTTAAAAGGCTGAAGAAAAAACTCGTCTGAAAATAAAATGGAAATTACACTTTATTATTGAAAAAAAAACAAAACCAAAAACAAAACCTGGTTTGCATACAGCAATTTGTTTACATGGTGTTTCAAACAATCATTCATATACACTTGTTGTTGACTGCCCTCAAGTTGAGCACGACTTATAGTGACCCTGTGAACAAAAGGCCTGAAGCCTTTCTATAATTACCGACATCTATCAAAGTTTTAAGTTTCTGGAGGCATGTTGTTTAGGAAGTGGATGATACTCCTGATTCCAAAGCTGTCTGAAACTGGGAGCAACACTGTCCATGATAGGTAACCATTATGGCATTTGACACCCCAATGGCACAAGGTTCAGCATCACAGCAACCCCATGTTACCTAAGTGCAACATACTGACAAAGAGTGCTGCACCACTAAGGAGAATGTTCCTCCAAAACATAACAACAACCAACTTTAAATACAAAGGCCCTCCCCCCAGGTCTTGTTGACTCTGAAAAAGAGGTTTAAAACAAACAAACAAACAACAATCAACATAGTATGTTGTTGTTGTTAATGTGCTTGTCGAGTCTCCTGCAATACACCACAGCTCTGAACCTTGCCCTGTCCTGAGTTAGTCTCATTAATTCTGACATACCAACCCCCATTGCCCCAGATACTGTATTAATCCATTTCATCCAGGGTCTTCCTCTTCTGTGCTGTCTATCTACTCTTCTAAGCATGATGTCCTTCTCCTAAGACTGGTCTTTCCTGGCCACATCATCAACATCAAGAAGCCAAAGTTTCTCAACACTTGGCCAACTGGCAGCACCATGATGGATGGAGAGACTGAGGCTGTTAGCAATTACAGCTTGCTCAGATCCACAATCAACACCAACAGTCAGGAAATCAAAGACGAGCTGCACTGGGACAATCTGCTGTCATGGACCTTTCCAGAGTGCTGAAGAGCAACGATGTCAGTCTAGATACAAAGGTGCGTCTAATCCAGGCCAGGGTCTTCTCATATACATTGTATTTTAGAAAATTAATTACTATACATGTATGCCTATTATTGCCCTATCTTTTCAAGTTCCCACCAAATCTTTCCTATTGCTTCACACTCCTATCTACCGACTAACTTATGATAGCAAATCACCTAGTGATTTCCACTCTTCTTTTTCCACCCTCTTCCCCGTTCCCTTCTGGACATTTATACAAATTTTACTAGTTTTCTATTTTCACAATAATGGTCTTATGTAGTATTTGTTCTTATGAGACAGAGTTAGTTCACTCAACATAATGCTGACTCTCCCCTAGACAGTATAAAACTGTTGCTCCTTAGTGCTGCATTGTATTCCATTGTGTGAATGCATCATTAATTGCTCAATCTATTCATTTGTTGATGGGATTTGGGCTGTTTCCACATTTTTACTACTGTAAATAATGCTGCTATGAACACAGATATACGAATATCCATTTGTATATCAGTTCTATTTTTCCTGAGGTTATATTCCAAGGGGGGTCATATGGGATTTCTATGTTCAGTTGTCTGAGGAAATGCCAAACTACCTTCCAGACTGGTTGTACAAACTCTTACATTTACAACAATGGTAACTCACTGTTGTTCTGGCCATGTGATTTCTTGACTGCTGTTACCATGGATAATGATTGTGGATCCAAGAAAAATTTAATTATTCACAACTTTAATTTCCTCTCCATCCATAATGACATAATGTTGCCTATTGGACTAGTTATTATGACTTTTGTTTTCTGACACTGAGGTGCAATCCACAACCTAGTTTACAGACTTTGATTTTCAGTAACAGCTTCAAGTCTTCTTTACTTTCTATAATCAAGAAGAGTCACCTGCACAATGCAGGTCTGCATGTTGAGGGGTCTTCCTCCACCTTGACATCACATTTTTTGTTCTATAATCTACCTTTTGGTTAGAAACCAAGCAAATAAGCATTATACCACTAAGGTTTCCATAAAGGGGCTACTATGAGCTGGATCAGAGTCTCAATTTTTTTGTTATAGTGTTGTTGGGGGCTATCAAGCTGGTTCTAAATGAAAAGCCATGTTCGTAACTGTTGTTGGATTATCTGTGGTTATAATCCCAATCAGGAATACATTTGCTTTTACATGGATTTCACCTGATGGTATGCATAGAAATCAGATCGATTATATCTGCGGAAAAAAAACGCTGGAGAAGCTCACTATCAGCTGTGAAAACAAGGCCAGGA